GGTGCATGGAGAACGGAAGAGCCACCTGTGTGCGGGCTGGCCTCTGCCTCTGCCACCCCGCATTCCGTTGTCCTGTGGAAGTCACCTTGGCGCCAACAAGCTGCTCCAGGCGCCCCGTGGCTGCCGCCGGTGCATCTGATTGGTCCTGTCCTCCAGCTGATAACTGTCACCCCTCTGACTAAACGGTGGTTTCCCCCCAAGTGCTTCCCTCTGGCAAAGCTAAATATTAATTATCTCCCTTTATTTCATGATTATTCATGGGCGCCCGTGTCACCCCATCACAGAGTGAGGAGTCGGCGCCGGGAGATGGGAAAAGTGGTTCATTGTAGTGAGCTGCCCAGCAATCCTGGAGCACGTCAGACTGTCCTTGCTCGGGGAGCCCGGCCTGTCTGTCCCCGGGTCACCTCGGAGCTGTGCCTGATGTGTGGGCCACCGTCCCAGGTGGAGGTCCAAGGGGAGAGATGGTGTTTGCCCCGCCAGGCAGTGCAGGGGACAGGCGCTCCCTTAGAACCCGAGCCGGAGCTGCTTCTCACCTGGGAGACACCTGCACGGTTCTGGTGCTGACAGGTGAATAGACGCCCATGGGACGCTCAGGACGCTACGGGCAACACGTGGGCATTGGGGACTGAGGCAGCATCAGAAGATAAGGCCCGACGTGTGTGCGGGGCTAAGGCTAAACCTGGACACACGGCAGGAGCCAACTCTGGGCCTGGGGCGCGGGGTGTGAATTTGTGTGTCCTGCCATGTGTGTGTGGGCGTGGGGGGGCATTTTGCACATTGGGGTGCCAGAGAGTAAGGGGAAACGCAAGGTCCATTTCTTTGCATGATGCACCTTCTCAGCACACGGGGTTTACCAAATATCCGTTCATGGACTGAGACATGGCGGAAGGGGTGCTGCTCACCCCTCAACTCTGGCTGTGTTGTCCCTCCCAAGGCTGCTGGCCTGGAGGTTGCCGGCATAGGGCCCAGACCTCCAGCGTGGCGGGTGGACAGTACATCCCAGCATTCCCATCACTTCCAAGTAACAGAGCAGGTCTGGAACTATAATGTGAGATGATCTTAATTGGGATGACATCAAATAATGTCTAGTTAGGCACTGTCCATCCCTTTATTTATTATTTATTTATTGGCACTGTCCCATCTTTTAGAGACTTGTCATCAATTCAGATGGAAAACCTTTCAGCTTCTCCATGGTGAACTTTAAAATTCTCAGTTGGGGGGGTGCCTGGGTGGCTCATTTAGTTGAGCATCTGACTCTTGCTTTTGGCTCAGGTCACGATCTCGGGGTCCTGAGATCGAGCCCCATGTCGGGCTCCGTGCTTGGCCGGGAGTCTGCTTGAGATTCTCTCTCCCTCTGCCCGCCCCTCCCCCAAATAAGTGAATCTTTAAAATAAAATAAAATAAAATAAAATGATAAAATAATTCTCAATTGGTGTTCCTCTCTTTCTCTATGCCCCTCCTCCTGGCAGGTGACAGGGTGGACCAGCCGCTGGCCTCCAGGGGGTGCTCAGGCCCGTGTGCCCACCTGCCTTGGCCCATCTGCCACATAGAGGGAGAGGCACGGGTGGAGGGGCCCAGGGGGGAGACAGGAGGGATTTGGAGAGGACCCCCCCCCCCCCCCCCGCCGTTTGCTCACAGGGAGCCTCCTCTTCAAGACGCAGTGTCATAGAGGACGGAGGACCACAATAGAGTCCAGGACACCCGAGCTTCTGCCCCAGCCAGCTTTCGCTCCCCAGGCCCACCTGTGAATGCCCCCTGTTTCTCTGACCCTTGGCTTCTTCATCTGTGAAACGGAGCTGGTTGGTGAACCGAGGCCGAAGAGGGAGGGGATACAGAACGATAGTTCTAAGCAAAGTTTCTAGAAATCTCGTTTTTCAAGATGGATGGGAGGGTTTTGCTGCGAAAACCAAATAATAATGTTTGCCCCAGGGTCGTAGATGTAGTGAGACAGTGCCTGCAGGCATCGCCTGAGGCCCACGTGTGTGCTTGTGGGAGCCTCGGCCCCTCCCAGGCATCGCTGGGGACTCTGGGGAGTGAGCACCTCCCATCCCACTCTGCTCACCCCTGCTCACCCCTGCTCACCCCTGCTCAGGTGGCCACGAGGGGCCTTCCCAGGGGTGGCCTCTGACCAGCGGGCCACAGCATTTGTCGGTCTGCCCTGCTCCAGCAGTGACAGAGCCCTCCCCACCCCGTGTCCCCCAAGCAGCCATGTTTACCTGGCTTCACCCACACCAGGGCTCCAAACCAAGTGTTTTTTTCCCCCTCTGCCCTCCTCCCTCCTGCCCCTGCCCTTGAGCCTGGCAAACCGAGCCTCAACACCTCGCTCTGAAGAATCTGCCATCGGGGGTACCTCACTGTTTAGGGACCCCCCCAAACAGCAGGGGAGCCCTCGCCTCACATCTGTGGGAATGAGCGGCCCGTCTGAGGGAAGGTCTCTGCAGAGGCTGGAGTTCTTTCTGAATGTCAAGCTGATGCAGTTACCAAAACAGACAGGCTGAAAACTAAAGTCGCCTACTGTGTGTTAGGTCTCCCTCCACACAGGACAGGACGTCCTGTGCCAAATTTCTCTTCCAGAAATGCTTCAAATTGTGGCAAAATACCCATAACATCAAAATTTGCCATCTTCACCATTTTAAAGCGGGCAGATCCGTGGAACAAATTTTCTCTTCCATAATTTTTAATATCTGTTCCCACCTGACAGTGCCACCTAATTCCCCGGGGTGGAGCAAGACACCATTCGCAGGGGAACGTCCCCGTGCTTCCGCAAATGGCGCCCTTGCCCTCGGGTGGCGTCTTGGCTGCAGCCCTCTCAGCTGAAGCTTTGGATTCTGTCGGCCCCAGAATCCTCTGCTTTGAGCTCCGTGACTTTGGACAAGTGTCTTTGGCTTTCTTGTCCATGAACTATGCATAGCGAGGCTTCCCCTAGGGAGAGAGGCCAGAGTAGGATTGCGATGCCCAGACAGCAGCCGTTGCCCACCGGCCCCAGGAAAGGCCCATCTCCCCGAGGCCGCCCTTGGGGGGTCACGAGCCACTTCTTCTCCAAGCAGGAAGCGCGGAACAGGCTGGATCCTGTCAGAGCAGGTTAAAAAAAAAACAACTCCTACTCCAGCAGGAAGAGACTGGGTGAAAACTAGCCCGGCCTGAAGCCGATCACTGACCTCCTGCTTCATGAAGTCGATACGGACTCTGTTGCCTCTTTGTGCCTTCACCTAATAGGAAAGTCCCTGCAGGTGTGAGCTGGGACTTACAAAGGAGGTCGGGAGATAGCAACCCTGGAAAAATAATTCCACCTATAAACACCTGTGTTAACAAGTGCTGTATTTGTACAGCTATTTTCTTTTTCAAATACTGTTTACACACACCTATTCTCTTACGGTGCTCAGGTGTGGGTTGCATGGCATCTGGGGACCCACTGGCTGGGGGCCAGCCTGCCCGGCAATGTGCGGCTCGGAGGCTGGGCCTTCCTGGGGCCTGTTGTGGTACACGGTGCTCCCGGGGCGACTGCCTGGAGCCCAGCCAAGTCCCGATGAGCCTGAGGACTGAGACCTCCGTGGGGCAGGAAGGACCGAAGGGCGGGGGGGTGGGAGGTGGAGGCTTAGGGGACAGTGACCCCAGCTGGATGAAAGAGGACACCTGCTTTGCTCCTCCTGGCCAGGTCGCTTTGCATTTTCACACTGAAAGGAAATTTGAACCCCGCAACCACCTGATTACAACTCCCAGGACTCAGGAGTGGGAGATGCCAAAGACCAACAATGAACAGAGGGCGGGAGAGCTCCGGTCTATAAGAACTCTAGAACTTGGTTAGAATCCCATCGAACTCCAGGGAAGCCCTTGGGTCTCACCTGGCGAAAGGCCTCAGCCGCCTTGCAGGGGAGACTCACTGTCTTCGGATGCCTGATGCTCAGGTGCTGGCACGGCCTGAGCTCTACCCAGGAAAAATCTCCGAATTGGGGTCATGTGGGGGCAGTTAAGAACAACGGCCCCGGTGGGAGAGCCAAACATCTCTGCACATTACTTACCATAAACCTTTTATCTGGAAGAGCTGTGCGTTTGCAGAGAAGCTCCTCCCCCACGCTGCCCTGCTAGCCTCTGGCAAAGCTACGGAGCGTTTTTTCGTCCGGGCGCCAGCGTCCGCCGCTCACCGTGAACTGAACACCACAGGTTATCAGGACCTCACCAGCGTTCCCGGGGCCCTTTCCTAGCCCCACGATCTCCGGGATCCCTCATCCCACTTGGTTTCGCGTCTCTGGGGCCTCCTCTGGTCTGTGACAGTTTCTCAAACCCTCCTTGTTTTGCAGTCCAAATGCTCTTCCCCTGAGCAATACCCCCTGAAACCCTCCTTGTTTTGGATGACCTTGAGGGTTTTGAGGTCGGGTGTTTTTGTAGAATGTCCCTCACGTTGAGCCTGTCTGATGTTTTTCTCATGGTTGGACTGGGGTTAAAGGTTTGGAGGGGAGCCCACAGAGGTGAAGTGTCATTTCATGACATCATGTGCAGGGAATGTCCCATGAGGCACTTTGTACTGCTGAGGCGGCCTTGAGGAGCAGCAGGCTCTGCCAGGGTCTCCAGGGTAGTCGTCCCATGCCCTTCCACACCGTCCTCTCTGGGGGCAAGTCACAGGCCGCCCACACCCGCAGTGGGGGGCTGGTTCCCTCCACTTCTTGGAGAGGCAGAACTGACGTAAAATGACTTAGCATTTTCTTGCAAGGGCCAGTCGTTTCTTCTCCCCGTTGTTTATTGACACAATCATTTATTATGGGTGTGGGAATACTTATTTTAAACTTTGGGCTGCCCGCCCCCCTTTCAGGTTGGCTTGTGGGTCCAAGACATGCTCCCATCCATTCAGTTTTTGGGCGCTTCCTTACTTAAGAAGAAAGGTACTGCTTTACTTGACACCTGCTGGCTTCTGTTTTAGGCGCTTTATTTGCATTTTCACTGTTTAATAATAGCCACTCATTTCTTTCCCTAACACACTCTCTCTCTTCCTGTCTGACCCGCAGGTTTCACTCTTGTCCTGCGCGTGGCTTCACGGGGTAGTGAGGAGCACGGACAGGGAGGGAGGTGGCCGAGTTTGTCCCCAAGTTCCGCTCCTCACCAGCTGTGTGACCTCGAATACCAGCCTCCAGCCTCCGATCTGTGAGATGGAGACAACACCGCGTAGCTCAAGGCCGAGAGCGCTTGAGACCAGTGCACACAGGTGCCTGGCCTGGGAGGCACGCAGAGATGCAGCTTTGCCATCCCTGGCTCTGTCCCGAAGTGACTATGTGATCATTTTGATTCTTTGAAACTCAGTTTTCCGGTCTGTAGCACTGGGACCGGACCAGATGGCCTCGAAGATTGCTTTCCTGACGTTGCACGTGAGCTCGGGTACGGTTGGCTGATGGGGATGCGTGGTGGGAGAAGAGGACCGGCGAGGGGCCCGCAGCCGTGCCACCAGGAACTCCGCAGCCCGGCCCGTGGCCAGCCCCGGCCTCAGCTCAGAGTGAGCTCTGTGATCTGCCAAGCAGAGAAACATGGCTTTTTGCACTAAATTTGATACTGAAAAATGTAACCTGCGCGTCTGGGCTGAGCCCCCACGTGATTCAGCACATAGCATGCCTCGGCTGGCTGGGCACCAGCTGGAGATCAGAAGCCAGTCCGGTCTGATAGAGTGTGAGGTATGTCTGCTCTCACTGGAGAGCACGTGTGTTTCATACGTTCTTAGATATCAGGTCTTTCAGCTTGGTGCGTCCTTCTCTACCCACGGTAGTATTTGTCAGCTTCTGTCGAAAAGCGGGATTTGGGTTGGGGTATGAGGTTGGGTTTCTGGTGTGATTTTCCGAGGTTACAGGTGCTGAAACCAGGGCCAGGCCTGGCAGTCAGTGGGGTGTGGCTGCTCACTGAGCTTCCTGTGGGAGCTGGGCCTCAGTCAGTGATGTGGGCCAGGTCACCAGAGCAGAAAAGGGGCAGATTAGGAGGGCGGGCTCTGGAAATGGTGCTGGGGCACGGCTGGGGGAGCAGACCAGGTGCCCACAGCTTGTCTGGTTTAGCCCGGGGGAGAGTGGCTGAGGTGGGGGGGGGCGGTGTGTGTGTGTGCAGGGAGGGCTGCTTAGGGCAAGCCTGGGTTTCAGTCCCAGAGGAAGAAGGTTAAGGCACTCACCCTAACTAGGTCACAGGTGAGCGGGAGCCCAGGGCTTTGGTCAAGGAGGTGGATGTTCCAGGGGTCAGGGCTGTCAGGGGAGGGAGAGAAGGAGAAGGGGGTTCTAAGTGTGAGCCTCGGTGATGATGGGCCCAGGACAGCAAAGGAGGGCTCAGAATATCCAGCCAAGGGAGTGTGTGGTAGTAAGGACCAGATCCAAGGGGACAGGCCGACTGGCCTCCCTTCTGTACAAACAGTTGCAGGAATTACTGTACAGATGTTTTCCCGCGTGTGTGTAAGGATGTTTGAGGAGGCCGTGTTTGCAATGGGATAAAATGGAGACAGTGAAGATGTCCAGTGGCAGGGCATCGGGCTTATCTGTGATGTGTGTCTATATAATAGGATACTTGGGGCGTATTGAAAAGATTAAAATAGGCCTGTAGGAATCGGTGTGGAAAACATGGCAAACACACATTGCAGAGGGAGAAAAACCAAGTGCAGAGCACTGAGAATTAGGTAGCATTTGAATAAAAGCGAACCTACAAATGGTGCTGGGATATTGTATCATTTAGGATGGGTTTTCCCTGCAAGGAACAGAAAACCCAACTAATAGTGGTTAAAAAAAAATAAGGGTTTATTTTTCTCATGTAACCCCACACCTGGAAGGAAGCAGTTGCTTCTTACCAAGGTTTTCAGGGACCTGGGTCCTTTATTTCCTGTGCCAACTCCATGGAATACGTTGGCGTTTAAATCCTTACCCTTACTTCCTCATGGTCCTAAAGTGGCTGCTATAGCTACAAACATAACATCCAAGTACAAGGAATGAGGAAGGGGACTGGTCTGTGCCAGACACAATTGTCTTTTTAAATTATTATTTGGTAATCCAGAGCTTTTCGGATGCCACCTGGCCCCTCCTTCCCCTGCCACGGGCCAATTCGCCCCCACATCTCGTTGCCTGGGACAGGGCCACTGGCCATCGACGGGCCTGTGGCTGAGGCCTGAGTGAGCAGGCTGCTGATGCTGGGAGGCAGGCCCCTGTGCCGGGCACCTTCAGGGGCAGAGGACAGAGGCGGGTCTCAGCCAGGTCAGCACTAGCAGTGAGGAGAGAAGAAAGGCAGGGTTGGGCGGGGGGCAGGGTGCAAAGGGCTGGGAGAGCTGGATCCCCTCATCTTCGGAACACTGACTTGGTGGGCGCTCATGACTTTCTTGCTGCCTCTTCTAGCGGGCAGCGTCAAAACTATTTTTTTTTTTTTGAAGATTTATTCATTTATTTGAGAGAGAGAGCGAGCATACATTGCATGAGTGGGGGGAGGGGCAGAAGGAGAGAGAGAGAGAGGCAGACTCCCTGCTGAATGCAGACACCCCTACACCCCAATGGGCTCGATCCCACAACTCCGAGATCATGACCTGAGCTGAAACCAAGAGTCAGACACTTAACCAACTGAGCCACCCGGGTGCCCCCGACGCTAACTTCTGAGGAAAATCCCTCCCTGCCCTGCCGTAGGGACTGACGTGTGTTTCTAATTCTGCTCACCAGCTGGACACATGTTGACGACACACCATGAAGCAGAAATGGGAAGATGAGCTGAATCAGTCCTTGAACCAGATGGCTGGGATGACTTTGGAAGAGAGCGGAGGACCATGTGGTTTTGCTTTTCCTGCGGGTGATCTCACTTCCGGCGGTCAGGGGGCATTTGTGCCGTGGCACACAGAGGCAAGGTCCCGAGAGAGGTGGAGGCCAACGGCCCCAGTTAGTGCTAACGTTGTCTTTTCCTGGCCCTGCGGAAGGATGTGTCATCGAGACTCAGGACGGGACTTCATGTGGACCAGAGAATGGAAGATGCTGACCTTGACCTGGATTTAAAATAGAGCTGCAGAGTTTGCAGAATGGACCCCCAGCTCTCCATCCATCTATCTATAGGAGGTTCTTCCCCATCAAAGTCTAAGGTGGGATATACTTAGTTTGAGCCCTTAAAATTTCTCTTTAGCAAAGGGTCAATCTATACCAGTGTGTATTTGAGTTGCTTGTGTGTGCAAGAAAAGATCAGCATCGTGTGAATCTTGATGCTCATCAATTGAAAAGCCAGAGGAGGGTGGTGCCTCCCCAACAGTATCGGGACTGACCGTAGAGTCCAGGAAGGATTATATAGAGACTCAAAGATTTTTCTGGTAGCCATTCCTTAAACTACAAAGTATACATAGGCCTAGATCTGAGAACCTAAGGGCAAGTGTATCAGTCAGAGCTCACTGCCGGAAACAGAAACCGCTCCAGATACGTTAAGTGGAAAGGGTCTTCATACAGGAGGTTTGGTCTTTAGAAAGGGCTGAAGGAGCAGGTTCTAGGCTGTGCTACTGGAATGACACCTAGAAGAATACAGAACTGGCCATCAGGAGAGCAGCTGCAAGGAGGCCTGGGCAGTGCCTTCCAATTCTTGCCTGGGACAGAAGGAAAGGTCAGCTGGGCCACTCCAGAGTCCAGCTCACAGGGCAATGCCAACAGGTGTTGTGCAGCTAAAGCGGATGTGTGGAATACTGATTCTCTGGGAAAAGTTTGACTCAGAAACACCTATGCTTTGGGGGGGGGGTAAAGTGATGAAAAGCAGCCTTTTCTCCTGGTTTCCACATGTGATTCTAGATGCTTCCGGTCTCAGCTCTACCGTATTTCCTATGCGGCCTTGAACAAACCTCAGCTCTCCCCGTTGTCAAACAAAGGTGTGTGACAAACTTGCAGGTGGCTTTGGGCTTTGGGGCGACTCCTCACAGTATCTCTTCGCTCACGCTTTGGGTCTTGAGCAGAGCTAGTCTTATAAACACTTCTGTGAAGAGCAACTCTTTGTTCCTGGGTTGTCCAGACTTCAAGGGCACTTCACGGGGTGGCGGGGGTGGGGGGTGGGGGGTGGAGGGTTCTGAGAGCTCATGGAGATCAAAGCAAATTAGGAGGAAGAAAACTTGTGGAACACTTGTTAGGGCCCAAGCAGAGGTGGACTGTTGTCCAAGCAACCGCGTCTGCTGGGAAATGCGAGGCTTCGTTGCCCCCCAGGCTCTGTCTCGTTTGCTGCCTCCAGGGGTGGCCTCCTTTTGCAGATGAGGACCAGTAGCTTGGCGGGCTCCGGGAGGTTGGGGTGAGGTTACAGAGACCACATGACTGTGGAGAGGAGACCGGTCCTCTCCCGGCGAGAGTAAGGGGCCTTGTTTTTGGGAAGTTCTGCCAGTTCCCAGCTGGGCTCCTTCGTATCCAAAAGAGGAAGCAGAGGGAGTCACACGTTTAGGATGGGGTCCCTCCCGCCTGTCTGCCTAGGCCTCTAGGGGTACGCTGGCGAATGTTTAACAACTGACCATGAGAAAAAAAAAAAAAAAGCCCACGTTTGACCTTTTTGTGGTGTAAATACTCTCACCATGCCGATTCCAAGCTGCTGATGAGGCATCACTGAGTGCAGCGGTCATACTTGGCTTAGCCATCCAGGGAGGCCTGGCTTTAGCAGACCACCGACTTAATGGCCCCCTCATACCTGTTGGTGAAAGCCCCCATTACTCATGGAGGAGAGAAGCGAGACCAGCCTGGGGATCATGGAGACTAAAGGGGAACACACAGGCTGCCGGGCTTAAGGGGTCTTGCCCTGAGGAGGCACGGACGTCACCCTGAGGTGGAAGATGGTCTAAAGTCACGTGTGGTTACTGTTCTCCAGAAGGAATGGTTTTAGGGTACCACCCTAACTACTTCCTATCCCGCACCAGTGACCTCAAGGACTGGTCTAAGTGCACAGAGTAAGTAACTGCCCATGCAAAACTCTTGCCTCAGCTCTTGTGAATAAGCTCATTTATTGGACGCCTCAGAGGGAGTGATGCTCCTTCCCCCAGTAGGCCAGAGGGGGAAGACAGGGTGCAGGCCTGAGGCCTGGACAGGACCCCCAGCCTCTCGGCCTACATGGAGTCATTTCCCCACACCCTGGCCGTACTGGAAGCTCTCTCTCTCTTACCTGTGGCTTGTTCCTCCTCCTTTCCCTTCTTCCAGGCCTAGGAAGGGGCTGGTGTCCCAGGGCTTGCTGAGGACATTCAAGGGTTGTCCGTAGAGTGTTGGAGAAGCACCGCAGAGACCCCTTCCAGCAGTGCGGCTGAGTGGGGCTAGCAATGGGCCACAGGGGTGAGCCATGAGGAAGAGGTCGGATGACCCCTTGCCTGGTGCCTCGGGGGCTTGCTCAGGACTCCGGTAGGAAGTAACTCCAGGACCTCTCCCCCATCTCTAATTCCGAGCCTCGCACACCATCGCATCCTTGGGAATATTGCCTCTAGGACCCCCTTCCCCGCCCACTGCAGGTGCATCGGCCGTCTGGGGGAAAATGCTGAGGATACAAGAGCTCGGATGGGCCCCAGTTCAGCTGGACGTGGAATCCCCCTCTGGCACTGCTGAGCTCTGTGACATCAGACCTGTTACTTAACCTCTCTGAGCCTTGGTCTCCCATGCGTCACTGTGAAGCGAACCGTTGTCATTTTTACTGATATTGATCGTGAGAAGGAAGGAGGCACATGTGTAAACAATAAGTGAGATCATGGAAATGCACCAGGCCCGGGCTGGGCACACAGCTTCTCAAATCCTAGTGTGGAGTGAGTGCTGTGTGTGTGGTTGAGGGCACTGTGATTTCAGCCTCGGAGAACCCTGTGAGGAGTCAACAGCTCTTAGTAACCCATCCTCCAGATGATCTGACTGGGGCTGGGGGCCACAGAGCCAGGCTGGAGCTGAGTGGGTGTTCCCTGGGCTCTCAGCTCCGAGGCCACCCAGGAGGCCCTGCCACCTCCTCTCCTGGCTTCCCTCTCTTTTTGCCATGTTTGAGGAACTCGGCTCAAGAACCACCAGCCACAGTCCTGAACGGGCCCTTGCTTCCAGGAGGACAGCAGGATGGAGGCAGGATGACAGCAGGTATGCGATCATTTCTGTTTGCTCCTTGCTTCTTCAGCTTTTCCTTTGACAACATTCGTAGAGAGCTACGCTGCTGGATGTTTACTGCCCACCCCGAGGGCTGGCAGGGCCCTGGCTGGAGAGGAGGACAGCCAGGGGAGGCGGGGGAGGAGGGGCAGGAGGAGGAGCCTGGAGCCTGAGCGCGCTGTTCCTGAAGGTGTTTAGAAAGTGACGCTTTCTCCCTGCTGAGCTTCCTTTGGGCTGAGGGGTTCCTGAGACATTTGCAATGTAAAGGGCGGCCATCCTCCATGACGCAGGGGACCAGATACCATCGGAACAAGAGTATATTTAGAAGACAGGAAATAAGCCCTCCAGCCTGCCCTTGACTTTACCGCAGGCGTTTTCGCCTTGTGAGCGCCCCGGAGTTGACAGAGAGGCTGCAGGGCCTAGTGAGAGGAAACGGCTAGGGCCTTCGAGCTAATGCGTCCTTTCTTCCCTTTTCTCCTCCTTTTCTCTCTCTGTTTCTATGCTTGCAGGCCCTGCCGGGGTTGTCCCAACGTGACGGGGAGAAATTGCTAGGAACTGAGTCATTTTGCTGGATTTTTTCAGCTGAGTTCCTGATTAGTAAACCTGGTTCAAGAATGGGAAAATGCACAGGGCTATTTTTAAGTGTTCTCGGCAGCAACGTTCCTAATTCCTAGAACAGACACCAATTGCTTGTCTGCCTTCAAGTGTAGACAAACACTTAGCAGCTGCATGACCTTTGGCAGATTAGACTCGCTGAGTGCTGGTGTGCTCATCTGTAAAATGGGGCTAATACCACCTCCCTCAGAGGACATGATGACTGTGTGCATGTCCTCCCCGCCCCCACCCCCGGGACAGTGCCTCTGGTCACCGCGGGGGTCAGACTGACTCTTCCAGGACCAGCGTGGGGCCCGCTGAGTTCCCCATGTATCAGTTTACAATCCATCGTGGGTTTGCTACTGGAAGACCCAAACCGAAACTTATACATCATCAGCCAGGGGAAACTTGGCAATTTCGTTCATAAATAAGCATTTGCCGAGCCCCTCTGCGCTAGTCCTGGCGAGGCCGCTGGAGAGAAGTGACACGGCTGTGGCCAGGGACTCTGTCTGGGGTGGAGGTGGACAGAGGGATGATGACAGTGGCTGCGATGAGTGGGAGGCACGTGTGGGGGCACCGGATTCAGCCTGGGGACTTCGGCAATGGCTCTTCCACACACCTCGCTGTCCATTTGTGAGAGTCCGAGGATACCCGGCCTGCAGTGGTGTGAGAAAGACTGGGGGCAGCGGATCAGGCAGTGTCTGTAGGGATGCTCAGGGCAGGCACAGTCTCTCAGAATAAGCCGTGTGGGGTATGCAACATTCCTAGAGAAACACGTGCACATGTCTAATATAAATGGCAGTTACTATCAGGTTAGTGTCCACTGAGTGCTGGACACCGTGCACCAGGGTTTACAGTGGATTTGACCAGAGGTGGCATCGGCTTCTGTGTGATGGGCCCACAGGAGGCTCACCTGGGCAGCGTGTGGGGAGAGAGTGGGATTAACCTCGCCATGGATGCTCCGAGTGCTTCACAAAAATCCTTGTTAAAGAACTTTAGCAGATTAATTGCTCCTCTGCAATATAATTCAATGTGTCACATTACACCAATTTATATTATGTGTGAAATAGAATACACAATTAGCTATATTATATATTGCATAATTGCTGTCTTCGTTAATTTCCAGCCCTACAGCTTTCTTGCCAGAGGGTCAGAGTTGAACTCAGATTAGTCAGTGTAGCTACTGGCTAGCATTTTCCTTAAGTTCGGTGGGGTGGTGGGGGGGGCGGTATGTGGAAGCCAAGGTTGGAAGGATTATAGGTGGGTCTTGACCCTGGGGAATTGGCATTTGGATTATTCTTGAATGACCTGGGGAAGCCAGGTGTGATAGTCTGAATGCAGCGGAAGCAGAGTATCTCAGGCTTGGGAGGCTGGTGTGCTGACGAGGACGCGCCCCCTCCCCGAAGCACTGACCTGCGCCTCTTAGGGCAGCTCAGAGTCTCATGTGTGAAGTCAGGAAAATCAGGTTTCTCTGTTAAGAAAAAGCAAAAAACCCAGCACAGAAAGAAAGCCATCCGCTGGGATGTTGGTGAGGACCACACAAGAGTGATGGTTGTTGCCGGGAGAGAGCCATCGTGCACACTCAGGTGTGGTGATGGTGGGCAGCAGCAGGGGTGAGGAATCTGGAGGGCTCGTGGAAGTTCTCATGTGCACGGAGGTCCAGTGGGTTTACATCGTCTGAGGGCCTCCCCTGCCCCCCGGCCTCTGCCCAAGCTCCGTCCTCTCAGGGAAGGAGGCAGAGGTTAGGGGCCAGCAGGGGGCCCCTTGCTGGCCCCGGCCTCAGGTTCAGCTTCCTGCTGTGCTCTCTAGCCGAGTGTGGGTCCTGGAACACGGGGCCGCTTAGAGCGCCTTGGGGGACCAATCAAGACCCTCAAGCCTGTCCTTATGTTTTGCTGTTTGTCTGGAACCCACTGGGCACTCCACATTTGGTGGTAGGTGATGGAGGGCCAGTGAAACATGGGGAGTGCCCCCCAAATTCTAGTTGTGTGGCTTCAGACAAGCCATTTCCCCTCTTCGAGCCTCAATCCAGGGGGGGCTAATACTATTTATGCCTCTCAGTGCAGGGAGAAGGACACTACATGAGATACTTACGGAATGTGCCATGCACAGCGCCTGGCATACAGAAGGTATTTGATAAACAGAAACTATTATTAATAAAACAGCAGTTTGGGAAAGCAGATTTGGCTTCTTTAAGAGAGCTGTCTTGGTGAGATTTTTTACATCCTACTGTACTGCTAAAGAGACGACTAAATTCCTGTTTACATATAAACCTAAACCCTCTTATTCTAACTGTGCCACCACCTTAAAAGACATATATTTATGCTTTCGGTTTTAACTGTTCGTATGTTTAAAAGCGGCACGCACTTCTAGAGTGATTATGCTAATGTACATTAAGGACTTTAACGATTGCACTGGTTGTACTAACCATCTATTTGAACTACATTGTGCAAATAAGATGTTATCTTAAATAAGCTCCTAATATAACTCAGTAATCACTATAATGCTTTTTGGTGAAATTGTGGTGTTATTACTGAATTTAGCCATGAGTCTCAAATACTGAACCTTTGAGCGAACACCAGCAGTGCCCAGTTGCTGCATTCCTGGCCCCCCAGGGGAGCTAGATGTGGCTGTCCTCGCCGCCTGGGGAGGGCCGGACCAGGCTGTCCCGGACCCCCCCCCCCCTACAGCGGGAGGTGAGCCAGTGAGAAGGATCGCACCTGCCAGGGGTAGAGCCGCCTTTCTCAGAAGCTGCATCACAGGAGGAAAAGGAACTATAAATACAGCCGAATGTACACATTCCTGTGACAGCAGAGACAGGAGTGGGGCTCGGCCTGGCTTACCGAGTGGAATGCAGACCAGGAGGGACTGCAGCCCAGCTCCCAGCCCCCTCTGCCAGGCAGACCCCACCGACCAGCACTGCCTCAAGGCGAGACGGGGCCGTGGGAACTTTGGGGGCAGGTGGATTTCTTCTGCTAGCTCCAGGATGAAAGAAGCACTCGAGTACTGAAGGTGAAACCATCAGTTTATCCTCACATCTCATTAATGCAACAGAAAAATAGAGCCTCAAGGTAAAAATGGAGGATTTAAAAATGTAATGACCTTCCTGCCTTTTTAAAAATGTTAATAGTTGGAAGCGTTTGGCTTTAAAGAAGGAAATGAGAGCCACACCAGGAGAATGCAAGGAATCACATCAAACGCACTTCCAGAAGAACTTTGGAAGCCTTGGTCAGCCAAGGAGTCTGAAGGGCAACATGGCCTCCAAGTTCAATGCCTGGCCCGGACATTTGGTGCCGCTCGCATGCAACGCAGGTCCCTGGACTTCCTGCAGGGGAAGAAGACAAGTTTTGTTTGTTTGCCGTGGAAGGAATGCTGATCTGGAGTCAGCAGACTTAGGTGTAGGGTCGCTACGGCAGGTCAGTTCACCTCTCTGGGTCTGTGTATTCAGTGAGGCGATGTGTTATCCAAGGACTCGTGTTCACTGCCTATTGATAGAGAGGCACCACGAGGCACCTTCTAAACTGCAAAGCGCTTTGCACATTTTGGGGGCTATTAGAATATCCGCAGAAGCCAGAGTGGAGAAGACCTTGCATGGGTCACCTGCTTGTCAGGGTGTATGGGAGGAAGCCAATGTAATGTGCAGAACCTCACCCAGCTCTCCATGGCGCTCATTTACAGAAGGAGTTGTTATAAGGGATTGCACTGTCATGCTCCTGATGAACTTCACGGGCAAGTGGAGAGAGTAGTAGTTGCGGGGCTATGGCACCTGCCCCCAGTCCTTCAGTTAATGCAGAGGGCTTATACGTTGGGCCTCCCTGTCCATGGGGCCATGTCCTTTCTTCCTTGCCCTACTGCCTCAGAGAGTGGCACACATTTGCCTTCTCCTTTCTGATTTTATAGGTGATGTAAAAACTCCAGTTTTTACATCATGAAAAAAATGGCGCCAGGATCTGGAATCTTGGGGCTTCTCTTTCTTCTAGAATGCAGGGTGGCCTCACATGCTCCTGCCTGTGGTGAGGGACAAGCTCGGGAGGACACTTCTGCAGAGGACAGTGAAGCCCGCTGGCTGGCCGGGCCTGCCCAGGGGCCTGTCAGTCTGCATCAAGCGTGGCTTCTGCAGTCTTGAACATTCTGGAAGAACTAGTGTCTATTTTCTTTCCCAAACTCATAGAAATTCTAAGAGGCTGACGAGGTTTGGTCTGGAGGTGGTCTTAGAGGACTTGAATGTTTCCGTGTCTCAGAATCTTCTGTGATTTAATTTATATGATTGTTGTTAAATTAAAACTTCCAAGGCACGTATAATGTGTGTCCTCAGGGAGTTTCCATGTTGTGGGAGCCCCGTTTACGTTTTCCCTTGATCGGGCCCACCGTCTCTCCTTATCCTTGCCCCAAGGTGCTTACCA